TAAATATTAAACAATTCACCTTATAAATTTATTTTAAATAAGATAAACAGTTTCCTTATATTAAACTAGAAAATCAAAAATATTGAATGAAATGGAGTGAGGAGTGCTAGTGTCTGCCTAGTTTTTTTTTTTACTATTCTTCTGTGTATTTAGATATCACATTAAACCTTATTAATTCGAAATTAAACTGGATTATACTTTATATAGAAAAAGTTCTCACGGATATTTATTTTTCTTTCGCAAGATTTAAATTTAATATTTTATTTAAGAGTAAACAAATTTCTTCCGCTCGAATTAATAGTTTCGTTCGTACCTCATCTCTTCTCTTGGTTATACTCTCTCACCACTTCCTAATTCAGAAGCGAATTGGGATTAAGCTATAGTCACCGGCCGGCGGAGCAGAGCGCGTGTGTTGTTCCTGGTTCTTCCTTCCTCGTTCTCACTCAGTCACAGATCAAAATGACATTTAACCAAAATCAAAATGGCAAGACCTGTAAATTCTCATTAACATAAAGCCCTTTTCCTGAAATAACACAGCTACATTTCAGCAATTGGTTTGGCGCCTTTCTCTTTGTTTCCCGCGCGCTTCCCATTCAATAAACCTCCTTTCCTCTGTGTCCATCCAATCCTAAAACTCACAATTTGTGGAATCGGAGAAGATAGAAGAAGCAGGAGGAGGATGTTTTCTTCGCAGACTTTCTTGGCTCGGAAGGGTCGCCTCGGCACCGTCTGGTTCGCTGCCCATCATATGCAGCACCGTCTCAAAAAGTCTCACTACACCTCCACTGATATTCCCTCCACCGTCGGTATGTATGTCCCATCGATCTCATCAACTCTAATCTTTATTTTCTTTTATTTGTAAAAGGAATTTCAACCGATTGGATGTAATTACCATTGCGAGGCAGGCAAAATGGAGATACTTAATGGTTAAAAATCCCATCTTTTCCTTGAAATAGGCTTAAAAAGACAAAAACTTGTTATGCTACTCTGAAAATCGGATTTGGCTTATGAAGTTGAGAATGATGGTATGTTCCAGTGCAAAAATCATCATCATTAATTGAGAATTAATTTTGACATTGATTCCTGATTGATTGTCATACAGAGCGCATCCTGTACCCAGACATCCCCATTGCACTGAGGATGTCAGGCCACCTTCTATTAGGCGTTGTACGGATATATTCCAAGAAGGTTGATTATCTCTTCCATGACTGTCATATCATCCTTGTTGGTTTGAGTAAGGCCTTTGATGCCAAAAAAGGTGGATTTGCCGGATAATGAAAACCAAGCTCCAGTTCATGCTATTACTCTGCCGGAGACATTTAACCTTGATGCTTTGGAACTTGATGATGATGATATATACACTGAGGGGTAGGCTTTTTCCCCTAAGCCTTTATTTTATCTCCTGCCTTCTTATTCTGCATGCATATTAAGATTGCATTAAATTTTGCTAGTCAGGAGCCCAGATAGTCATCTCAGGTATGAGGAAGACATCAGACTACCAGGTTAGAAATGAGCTACTATTTGCCTTTCTTTTGTATGCCTGTTTGTTGATATATTCAATTGTAACTGCTCCAAGGTGGGCTTCTTCTATCATCTTGCAGACCAAATTCCTACTGGAGCAAATCCTTGTATTGCCATAACTTTTGATGAGGTTAGTCAATTCTTTTCTATCTGTTAAAATTGGAGTCTTCATTTGCTTCGTGTTGATCAATTATTTGTTTTTGGCTATGTGAATTGCAATTTCACCTATGGAAACATCTGTATATGTAGGATATGATGGAT